ACTAACAGCACCTTTAAGGCAGGTGAAATTGCTGACCTAGAAAATGTACAGAAAACCTTCACGGCACGCAAACGGAGTTTAAAACACCTAAATTACTGGGAGCGCTTGAGGTTCCTGAACCTGTATTCCCTGGAATGCAGGAAGGAGAGATACATGATTATATACACCTGGAAAATCCTAGAGGGACTAGTACCGAACTTGCACACGAAAATCACTCACTCGAAAGCAAAAGACTTGGCAGACGATGAAAACATCCCCCCAATGAAAAGCAGGGGTGTCACTAGCACGTTAAGAGACCATACAATAAGTGTCAGGGGCCCGAGACTGTTCAACTGCCTCCCAGCATACATAAGGGGGATTACCGATAGACCCCTGGGAGTCTTCAAGCTGGCACTGGACAAGCACCTAAAGTCGGTTCCTGACCAGCCGGGCTGTGGCTCGTACGTTGGTTTGCGTGCAGCCAGCAGTAACAACCTGGTTGATCAGGCTCTGATCCACCAGGAGGCCTGGTCACAGACCGGGCCGCGGGGGAGTGGGCCCCCAGAACTCTCTCCAGGTAAACTCCAGGTAGCAATGGTTTACCTTGCCGAGTTAGCACAATGAAAAATTTGTTTTTGCCATAAACCAGCGGAAATCAATGATGTAAACATTTTGTTATGTCTATGACGTAAACAGCTTATTACTTTTCATGATGTAAACAGGGAAAAAAGTGGTAATATATTTTTTTCACTCAACATTTTTTATGTGATCTCCATGAGGCGAGTCACACACTGGGCCGCGGGGGCGTTGACCCCCAAAACCCTCTCCAGGTATACTCCAGGTAAACTAAGTCTTGGAAATTAAGTGTATATACAGAAAGGGCACCCCTCTCTTTTTGGAGGCCGCATCTTCCCTTCTGCCCCCACCTGGGTGATGGCTTGTAACGATTCTGGGAAATCACTAAGTAAGTAAGTAAGTAAGTTTATTCAGGTATACACAAATACAGTTACATAGAATTATCATACATAGCAGCATATGTGTAGAGAACCTGGGATAACCCAAAAAAGTCAGACAGAGTGACTTATTTCTCACACTGTATCATAATTTATCTAACTATATTTATATGCAACTATAATTGAATAAACTTAGATTTCTTATTTCCTTAGTCACTATGCCTCTAAAAGGTACTGTATTATACATTACCACTTACATATATTATGGCTAAGTTATCGTTAGTCGTTTAACTTAACGTAGTAATTACACTACCTATATACAGTGGTCCCTCGTTTTTCATAATTAATCCGTTCCTGGAGCCGTTACTATAAACGAAATTTACGATTTACGAATCAATTTTCCCCATAAGAAATAATGTAAATACAATTAATCCGTTCCTGACACCCAGAAGTATTAAAACAAAAAAAATTTTAACATGAAATATACATGTAGTACATAAACAATACAATGGGAAATGATGAATGAAACATTAACAGCATAACACTTACCTTTATTGGAGATTCTTCTTAGTGTATGGAGATGGAGAGGAGAGAGAGTGGATTGTTTATAGTTTGAAGGGGAATCCCCTTCCATCAACACCTCAGGTACCTTGCTGTTCTAAGGTTGCTTCTCTTCTCTGTTTTTAATGCACTAGGGACCACTTGAGAGTATCGGGGAGTCCTGTCTCACAAAAATAACTGGGGAAAGAGAAGCTCTGTTTCTGGCATTCTTAACACTTCCAAAATGGCCCAAGACTTTGTCACGTAATGTTGCCAACCTGGTTGCAAACACTTGTTAGGGTGATTTTCTCCAAAAAGCTTCATTTACCCCACATAGTAAAATTCTTTAATTTCTGAAGAAGGCACCTTTTCCTTCTTTTCCCTTTTTCCTCCTCTGCAGCAGGATTCTTAGTGGAATGTGTTGCTTTCCCTGTTTTGAAGCTCTTGCAGCTCCTCAGTTGTGAGCTCTTCATTGTGGTCTTCCACCATTCTTCACATCCTCCAACTCACATCCCAACCATGGAACCCATGCACAATTGATTTTAAACAGACATTAGGCCATTAGGTCATCCAAATTTTTCAAATCCTCTTGTCGACACAATCGGGCCCACAATTTTTCCCAGGCCAGAAGTTCAAGTCCTGGTATCACTCCCTCCCAAGCCATACCTATTAAGGGTTATGCAGTGGAGGATGTGAAGTGTTTCTCTCCAAAATTCCTTGGGGGTCAGTGAGTGCTGTGTCACAGTCAAGCACCTGTGAAACATTGCTTTGTGTTAGAGTTTTTAAAGTTTGCAAATAACTGTGGTCCATGGTTTTGAGGAGAGGATGGTATTTGGGGCAAGAACTTTACTGTAAATAACCCAAACTCCTCGAAATTAGGCATCCGAGTTTGGGAGGAGAGCAGGTGCTTGTCCATTACGCAGGCACTTGAAAAATCCGTTTCTTTTCCAGGAGAACTCTTCACACTAGGGCAAACACTTCATTGAACCACTCGACGAAAAATTTCCCTCGTAAACCATGCCTTACTATTAGATTCCAAAACACACAAAATTTGCTCTTCAAAATTGTTTTTCCTGAACACTCTGGATTTTCAGAATGGTACACTAGTAATGGCTTCACTTTGAAATCCCCACTAGCATTACACAGAACATTAGCGTCTGCCGGTCTTAATAGGCTTGTGTCCTGGCATTGCCTTTTCCTTTGTGAAATAAGTCCTCTTTAGCTTTTCTTCCAAAGAGGCCTGTTTCGACACAATTAAAACCTTGTTCGGGTTTTTCAGTCCTCAGCCTCTATGTACTCCTGGAATTCATGCACTATTTTTAGCTGCCTTTGGTCCGAACTGCACCCTCACCCCTTCCACACTGTGTATGCCAGTATATTTTTTATTCTCTCAAACCAGCCTTTGCTGGCCTAAATTTCCCATCACTTCACCACTATTGCAGCAATTCTTTACCAAATCTTCATGCAACTGCCTACCCACAAATAATCAAATCATAAGAGTATCTCCGCTATTTTTCTCATTTGTCCACACAATATAACTTCTCAACCCCCTTCCAGTACCTGTGATCCTTTTTGTCACTTAGTTACTCCCTTGAAACAACACATCTTTTTTTCTTTTTCTTGCGTCTACGAACATAAGTTTTGTAGGTTTCTTATACCATCCTGACATTCCCACACTTGTACCACTTTCATATTGTTCAATGATGGTTTCTTAAATTCAGTCGTATTTTCCACTTCTTTACCACAGGCTTGGCACTAGGAGCTTTCTTTGGAGCCATGGTAGCTTATTTAGTACTTGCAAGCACTAAAATAAATGGAATATTATGAAATATTTCGCTGGAGCACGTGAGGGGACCTTCGCTCACTGGTGAACAATGCCAGACTGGCTGCCGCCCCGGCTCACGCCGTGGGTACGCATCCCGGACGAACTACGACTCGCGAGTCAACCTATGAAAAGCTAGTCCATGTTCATACGAAAATACCCCTATGATTGGCGAATCTTACGATTGCCGGGAACTACGAAAAGCGGGGGACCTCTGTATTAATAACCTGTAGTCACTCCTTTTCCCGCCTAGAAGACCCACGCCGGGTTTGAGAGCACCTAGGGCCTTCAGGCCTAAGAGGCGAACCCCCTCGACATTATCGTGGATTATCCGTTACGCCCGTGAACGTGATATCTCACCTCGATAAGCTCGCTACAAACCCAGACCCTGGCCCGTGACCCAGACCCTGGCCTGTGGCTCTACAGAGATATTCCTAGGTGCTCTAACATCTCAGTCACCTTGCATGTATCCCGGGTGTAGTAAGTGCGCACTTGTTCACTGAGTTTGCGTGTAAGGCGAGCTACCACCTACACCAGAGACCTGGAGACGTCACGTGTGAGGCGAACTACCACTTGCACCAGAGATCTGGAGAAGTCACGCGTGAGGCGAGCTACCACCTGCACCAGAGACCTGGAGACGTCACGTGTGAGGCGAACTTCCACCTACACCAGAGACATGTTGAAGCTACGTGTGAGGCGAGTTACCACCTGCACCAGAGACCTGGAGAAGTCACGTGTGAGGCGAGCTATCACCTGCACCAGAGACCTGGAGACGTCACGTGTGAGGCGAACTACCACTTGCACCAGAGACCTGGAGAAGTCACGTGTGAGGCGAGCTACCACAAGCACCAGAGACCTGGAGAAGCTACGTGTGAGGTGAGCTACCACCTGCACCAGAGACCTGGAGAAGCTAGTGTGAAGCGAGCTGCCACCTGCACCAGAGACCTGGAGAAGTCACGTGTGAGGCGAGCTACCACCTGCACCAGAGACCAGGAGAAGCTACATGTGAGGCGAGCTACCACCTGCACCAGAGACCTGGAGAAGATACGTGTGAGGCGAGTTACCACTTGCACCAGAGACCTGGAGAAGCTACGTGTGAGGCGAGTTACCACCTGCACAAGAGACCTGGAGAAGCTACGTGTGAGGCGAGTTACCACCTGCACAAGAGACCTGGAGAAGATACGTGTGAGGCGAGTTACCACTTGCACCAGAGAACTGGAGAAGCTACGTGTGAGGCGAGTTACCACCTGCACAAGAGACCTGGAGAAGCTACGTGTGAGGCGAGTTACCACCTACACAAGAGACCTGGAGAAGCTACGTGTGAGGCGAGTTACCACCTGCACAAGAGACCTGGAGAAGCTACGTGTGAGGCGAGTTACCACCTGCACAAGAGACCTGGAGAAGTTACGTGTGAGGCGAGTTACCACCTGCACCACAGATCTGGAGAAGCCACGGTCTATCAGTTCACACTGTCCCTGTGTGGTATACAGGTATGTGAACAATTATTTCTGGGACCCAGTATGGGGTGGCAGATTCTGGGCTAAATTTCATGACTGAAAGGGGACTACATGTACACCCTCTGCTCTACACACACAGCACCACATGCGTCGATTATCTAGGATAACCCAAGAAATCAAAGTACTCATATTCACTGGGGTCCTTATAATAGCTTATTTAAACCTTACAGGTTAAAACAGCTAAGTAACTCATCTGTGTGATAGGTAGTTACAATAAAAGTAAATATACTAGGAATAAGGTGAAGTGAGTTATTTATACTCACATTAAAGGTCAGATTAGATCAGATCAGATCACAGTAATAGGTACATGAATGTTAGCTATACAAGAAATCACTCCTACCTTTCTGTACCTGTATTCATTAAGTACCTTTTTGCTCTTTTTCTGAACTGGCTCATGCTATGACAGGCTTTGACATGTGCAGGCAGTCTGTTCCACTGCTTCATTGCTTGACCACCTGCTGCGGGTACTACAAACTTGTGTTCCTTTCCCCTAGTACTATAATTGCTTCGGTTCTCAACCTTGACAAACTTGGCAGCAAGATATTCTTGACACTGCTTGTGAGCAATTTTATAAACGTGATTTAACTTCAGTTGTTTTACTCGGTCTTCAACATTCAGCATATCCAAGTGTTGTAATTCATCCTGGCCTATATGTTCTCTTGGTCCCAGCGCCAGGATGATTCTTACTATTTTGTTCTGGGTGATTCGTAGTCTTTCAATTTTTTTTTTTTTTTGGTAAGGCAGAGTAACATGAAGAGCAAGCGTAGTCCCTATGACATTGTATAAGAGCCTCAGTAGGTAGACACTGTGCTTGTCCGTAGGGGAACTTCAGTCTGGAATTCGCTTTCTGTACTACACTGTTCCCTATCGTTCTCCTGACATGCATGACTTCTTTGTTTCCTTACATACATACGTTGAGGAACTGTACTTTGAAAATTGTATAAATAACAACAAGTTGATGATGAATAGTTGGGTATCTTTATTGTTGAAAGGTTTCGCCTATACAGTTGGCTTCTTCAGTCAAATATAAAGTCAGCAGCTGTAGTAAGGAATTGATGATTTAATCAGTCTATCATCCAGTCCAGACCATGGAACTGAACTCTTCTCCCGGCTAAGGGATGACCAAACCCCAATCTCTAAGGTTGAGAATTGATTAAATCATCTTGTATATGACTGGAAAAGCCTACTGTGTAGGCTAAATGTTTCAACAATACAGATACCTATCTCTGGCACATGTGTCTTAGTCATCAACTCTTAGGTACATAATATTCACACCTCATTACTATTCTTATCACTTAGTTTATAACAGTGAGTATTTATTCACTCACCTCGTTTCCCTTCTTATCATTTCTATATTATAACTATGAATCTTTCCTCACATTGAACTGGAGTAAAAAATAAACAAATAGTAAACAACGAATATTTTTTAATTTTTTTTTAATGCTAAAGACATTACCTGAATGTCTGGATGAAGACCCAGATTATAGAGAGTCCAGTTGACGGCTGAGGCGGTGGTGTCGTGGCCAGCAAACATGAAGGTGTCTACCTCCTTCCGTATTTCTTCTTCAGTGAACTCAGGATTGTCTTCAGCGTATTCTAACAGGAGGTCGAGGGAAAGGGCCCGAACGTTCTTCTTACCTGTGCATACATATACAGATATAAACATATAAATGCAAACACATAAATAAATATGTATATTCATAGTGTTGTTGTTGTTACTATTATTTTAATTATTATTATCATAATCATCATTATTACTTAATTGAAGCACTAAAACCTTAATAGTCATAGAGCGCCTGGGAACGGGAGGCAATAATATTTGGTCCAAAGGAGAGGGTAACAAGTTAGATTCCTGAGACACCTGATCAACCTCCATGTACCTCTCATGGCTGGTATATATATGTTTCAAGTTTTTGAGACGTGTTAATAGATCGCCAGAGTGTTTCAGGAGTGATCCTCAGAATGTGCCTTAGCACATCACACCTGAAATATTCACCAGCAAGAACAAGACGCTTGCCAGCCTAAATGTCTCCTTGTTTTCTTGAGTTTACATTCACATTGTTCTCTGTCAGGCTTATAAGCTCTCCTCTCAGTTTCCATTTCATTCCATAAAAACATTTCTGACAATTGTACTTGTCTCTTGTCCCCTCGGACAGAGGGGCGCCAGGCATCTGACATGCCTTTGAATGGTATCTTGAAATATTTCCCTCGCTAGACGAGACACAACAATGGCTGTATCTCTAGACGTCTGAGAATTTTCCATTCAGTTCCTATTATCGCATAGCTCCTGATTATCGCATAGCTCCTGATTATCGCATAGCTCCTGATTATCGCATAGCTCCTGATTATCGCATAGCTCCTGATAAAATGATGGCAACTGTGTGAAAGGCCTACAGCACACACTTTTTCTTTTATTGCTTATCTTTCATTTTTGATCTCTTGTCTATGATTGTTTGATTGTATGTATGTACGTATGTATGTATGTATGTATGTATGTATGTATATATGTATGTATGTATATATGAATGTATGTACTTATTTGTACACACCCATTTGTAGTTCGAGTCTCAGTTACTGCAATGACTTGCCATTTGCTGAGTTTATTCCCCTTACCTAATGGCCCAGTCAATCTTTTTCTTAAAACAATGTATGGAGCCTGTCCCCTACCACTTCTTCGTCCAGGTTATTTCACTTACTGACCACCCTGACTCTACCTGTGCCTAGGGTACTTGTTTCCCGCCTCTTGAACAGTCTCTTTTCTGATCACTATCAAATCCTCTGGAATTTGTTTTGTCGTTATTCTACAATCAGAACCAAAATTCTTTTATTCTCTAGTGTCGTCAGTTCAGTTCCTTTAGCTTCTGGTTTTACCTTTGTCTTTACTTTTCACCTCATTGTTTGCAGTATAAAAGTCCCTTCCCCCCGCATATAATTTTCACAGCTGTCTCATTCGTCAACAAGTCTCGTTGCATACCTATGCACTTTCTTTAGTTTGTGAGCTTTGCTTTATAAAGTGTGGAGTGGGCTGCTGGTGCTGGTGGCCGGTGGCCTGGTGGCTAAAGCTCCCCTTTCACACACGGAGGGCCCGGGTTCGATTCCCGGCGGTGGAAACATTTCGACACGTTTCCTTACACCTGTTGTCCTGTTCACCTAGCAGCAAATAGGTACCTGGGTGTTAGTCGACTGGTGTGGGTCGCATCCTGGGGGACAAAATTAAGGACCCCAATGGAAATAAGTTAGACAGTCCTCGATGACGCACTGACTTTCTTGGGTTATCCTGGGTGGCTAACCCTCCGGGGTTAAAAATCCGAACGAAATCTTATCTTATCTTATAGTCCAAGATGGACCTGACTTATGCCATGTATTATAAGACCGTTGAAATTCCTGGAAGCTACTCGCAGATGTACTAAACAAACATGTGTCGCAGATGTTGTCCGGGGCCCAAGACTGTTCAACAGCCTCCCATCAAGGGCCCAAGACTGTTCAACAGCCTCCCATCAAGGGCCCAAGACTGTTCAACAGCCTCCCATCAAGGGCCCAAGAATGTTTAACAGCCTCCCATCAAGGGCCCAAGACTGTTCAACAGCCTCCCATCAAGGGCCCAAGACTGTTCAACAGCCTCCCATCAAGGGCCCAAGACTGTTCAACAGCCTCCCATCAAGGGCCCAAGACTGTTCAACAGCCTCCCTCAAGGGCCCCAAAGACTGTTCAACAAACCCCCCATCAAGGGCCCAAGACTGGGTTTAACAGCCTCCCATCAGGGCCCAAGACTGTTCAACAGCCTCCCATCAAGGGCCCAAGACTGTTCAACAGCCTCCCATCAAGGGCCCAAGACTGTTCAACAGCCTCCCATCAAGGGCCCAAGACTGTTCAACAGCCTCCCATCAAGGGCCCAAGACTGTTCAACAGCCTCCCATCAAGGGCCCAAGACTGTTCAACAGCCTCCCATCAAGGGCCCAAGACTGTTCAACAGCCTCCCATCAAGGCCCAAGACTGTTCAACAGCCTCCCACAAAGGGGCCCAAGACTGTTCAACAGTCTCCCATTTAAGGGCCCAAGACTGTCAACAGCTCCCATCAAGGCCCAAAACTGTTCAACAGCCTCCCATCAAGGGCCCCCAAGACTGTTCAACAGCCTCCCATCAAGGCCCCAAAACTGTTCAACGCCTCCCATCAAGGGCCCAAGACTGTTCAACAAGCTCCCAAACAAGGGCCCAAGACTGTTCAACAGCCTCCCATCAAGGGCCCAAGACTGTTCAACAGCCTCCCATCAAGGGCCCAAGACTGTTCAACAGCCTCCCATCAAGGGCCCAAGACTGCTCAACAGCTTCCCCTTTAAGGGGCCCCAAAACTGTTCAACAGCCCCCCATCAAGGGCCCAAGACTGTTCAACGCCTCCCCCTCAAGGGCCCAAGGACTGTTCAACAGCCTCCCCTCAAGGGCCCAAGACTGTTCAACAGCCCTCCATTTAAGGGCCCCAAGACTGTTCAACAGCCTCCCCTCAAGGCCCAAGACTGTTTCAACAGCTCCCATCAAGGGCCCAAGACTGTTCAACAGCCTCCCATCAAGGGCCCAAGACTGTTCAACAGCCTCCCATCAAGGGCCCAAGACTGTTCAACAGCCTCCCTTCAAGGGCCCCAAGGGCTGTTCACAGCCTCCCATCAAGGGCCCAAGAAATGTTCAACTCTCCCCCTCAGGGCCCAAGACTGTTCAACAGGCCTCCACAAGGGCCCAAGACTGTTCAACAGCCTCCCATCAAGGGCCCAAGACTGTTCAACAGCCTCCCATCAAGGGCCCAAGACTGTTCAACAGCCTCCCATCAAGGGCCCAAGACTGTTCAACAGCCTCCCATCAGGGGGCCCCCACTGTTCCCAAAAGCCTCCCATCAAGGGCCCAAGACTGTTCAACAGCCTCCCATCAAGGGCCCAAGACTGTTCAACAGCCTCCCATTAAGCATTAGGGGAATTGCCAATAAGCCCCTGGCTGCCTTCAAGAGAGAGTTGGACAGATACCTAAAGTCAGTGCCGGATCAGCCGGGCTGTGGCTTGTATGTTGGACTGCGTGCGGCCAGCAGTAACAGCCTAGTTGATCAGGCCCTGATCCATCGGGAGACCTGGTCATGGACCGGGCCGTGGGGGCGTTGATCCCCAGAATAACCTCCAGGTAACCTCCAGGTAACCAGGTACGTTTAGCACTATGCTAACACCTAGCTCTCTCGCGTGATGGTTGCAACCTCTGTTTCCTGAATCCATATTAAGTTCCTGGTTTTCTTACTTCTTCGCCAGTTTCCATAACCTTGCATTTGTTGGGCTGACTTAGAGTACCATCTTGGATGACCTTTCTACCTTCATTTATATTCTTTCTTTCTCCTTATCAATTATTTTAGATAATTCTACATCATCTATATGTATGAGTGTATATATGTTTGTAAAGTATGTGTGCATATATATATTTTATAATAATATATATAAAATTATATATATATATATATATAAATATATATTATATATATATATATATATATATATATATAAAATATATATATATATATATATATATATACAATATATATTATATATATAATATATTTTATATATATATATATATATAATTATATTTTATATATATTATATATATATATATATATATATATATATTATACCACACACATATATATATATATATATTATATAAAATATATATTATTATATATATATGTGTGTGTGTGTGTGTTGTGTGTATGTTTGTACATGCAGAACAATCACTGTACAAAGTGCATATTGTGATAACACCTGTTAATTGTGATCTTATTGCATGCATGTATGTATATATGTATGTATATATGTGCATGTATGTATGCATGTACTTACCTATTTGTGGTTGCAGGGGTCGAATCATAGTTCCCGGCCCCGCCTCTTCACTGGTCGCTACTAGGTCCTCTCTCTCCCTGCTCCATGAGATTTATCAAACTTTGTCTTAAAACAATGAATGGTTCCTGCCTCCACTACGTCACTTTCTAGCCCTTAACCTGTCCAAATGTAGATCTACGTTTGCACGCGTAGCTCCGAACGTAGATCAACGTTTTATTTTTCATTCCTTCATATTTGGCACAATAGGCTTGAGTCACCTAGATATGAAAGACTGGGTCTGTGCACTCAGTGTGTGCAGTATTAAAAGAATCTGGGAGCATTTAGTACCTTGTGGGAGCACCAGTTCAGTTGAGCACCAGCTGGAGCAAATAGCGTAGCAAACATCAGGGATTTACTTATGCCATGTCACATTAACACTCCCATTTTAAGAGGTGTATAAATGGAAACCAGGAATAAATAAAGGGGCTGTAAATAGCATGCTAAATATATCCAGCCAAGACAGGACTCGTAGCAATGGTTTCAAGTTGGAAAAGTTCAGATTCAGGAAGGACATAGGAAAGCACTGGTTTGGTAATAGAGTTGTGGATGAGTGGAACAAACTCCCAAGTACTGTTATAGAATCTAAGATTATTATAGAGTGGGTGTTGGTGGGTGTGAGTTGAACCTGACTAGCTTGTGCTACTAGGTCTTATGCCGTGCTCCTTCCTTAAGTTGAAGTGACCTTACTAGGTGGGTCATTGATCTAAGCCATTGATCTATGCGGGTTATTTG